GCTCCATTACAGATCACTCAGGGCGTTCTAGCTGTCGCTTTCCCCAGTAATGCCCTTTTTTGGTGCTTACAGTGCCTTTTACTTGAAGATTTCAAAGCAGTTCGCATTCCTTCTTGTGAATTTTCCGTCGTTTTCATGCCTTCCTCAGGGCCAAAAAGCACGCACAGATGAGAGTCCCGCAGCTCGGGAATATGGCCGCTTGGGGGTGCAGTCTATCAGTGTATGGCTAGGGCTATCCATCATATTTTTAGCGTTCCAAAGAAAACTAAATCCTGGTGACAATGTGATACTGAAAATAAAGGGGTTTTTGTTTGTTCTCTGCTTTAATTAAAGCTTCAAAAACGCATTTTAATGCAGGGCTAGTCCATTCCACAGCATTTGCCATGTCTGTTTATGACAGTGATTTGAAAACTTAAATATTTCTGATAATAAACAGTGCCTTTTTTTTTTTCTCCCGCTCCAGGCATTAACTGATCTTTTTGATAAAACTGCTGGAAGTTCTCAAAACATGACTGCCTGTATTCACAGCCCTCTTAAAAGTTCTCATCAAAGTCTACAGTTACTTAGTAGTTAATTTTTCATTGTAACACCAAGTTAATTAAAATCAAATATCTTACGATTAAGTGTTTGAAATAACATTTGCAAGTAGTGTCACTTGTTTCATTTAATTATTAGCACTTCTGCTGAAGTGAAAAAAATGGCACCATTAAGGAGTAATAGAGCAATCAATACTAATTTGCTTTTGCTTGTACAGAAGGCAAAATCTAATTATATTTGGGCATCTGCTGTTTTAGAATATCGCTTGTGCTTGCCCAACATTCATTTCTATAAAAGCACAGTTACGTTTTACATGAACTGCAAAAATAAGTTTCTCTATTATTTGGGTTTTACTTCGGAAAGGAAAAACTAAGTTTTGAGCAATGTAATATGAATTTTACATTGAACCTTACACTTCACTATGCTCTGAACAATACTTCTGTGAAAAACAGCATTTAGCCAGATAACTGGCTTCTTAGGTCCTATTGTTTCCATAGCAAATAAGCTCACTTTGAAAATACATCTGTGCTTTAAGAGTTTTAATTAGTGAAATATATAAAAAATATACAAGCTCAATGAAAACCATTTTGCTAGATACTCAGCATGATTTTTTCCTTAAATTTTATATTCCTGCACAGAGCTGGAAGATGCTTTACGAGAAGAAGTTGAATTGCTAGTGCAAGCTATTTATTCCATTCAAAAACAAAAGACTGTGTTTCTTCACTGACATGTATAGATAACTGAAGAACTGTGCCCAAACATAACTATTCTGGGCATTTTTTTTTCTATCAGCATCACTAAAATTCAGAATTGGCATCCAAACTTTCCTCAGTTAAAGAAAGTAAAAGTTGAAGGTGTGTATTATTAAATGGACATTGGTCTGAAGTCATGATTTTCTTCCCATTCCCATTTAAGAATTAAAATCAAATTTCTCAATTTGTTTTGTTTGCCTTTTTTGTTTTTTAATTTACTATAACTTTTTTAGTTATTTTTGCTGATATTCTTTACTTTGTACTTTTCGGTTCTCAGCAAACTACAAATCATTGACAAAACTACAGTCTCTCTCCTGACTACCAACATGTACAAATTCAGCAGATACACTGCTGAACACAAGCCTGGATAACACTTTTTCCTTCTGCCCAACACTTATTTCTGTTTTGTGTTGCATGAAAGATTTAGCTCAAAGAAAAATGATACAGTGCCAAGTGATCCATTAGCACGGTAGCATTGGTACACTAATTATCCTCCAGAAACAAAATGTCCCTGAATTCCCAGGTCATCGTGGTTCTCTTGGTGTTAATTCTCACATAGCTAAAGTGGCAGCAGGCAAAATATATCTGTATTAATCCTTATTGTGCCAATACTTACTCGTGCTGAACTTCATCACCACTGTTAGTAGAATAACCATCACATAGGTCAGATAAAAAACTTGGCTTTTAGGTAAAGACAAACGGCATAAGTCTTTGAATGCTTGTAGTGTGATACCAAGGAAGTTAATTGTCCGGGTCATACTAATCATAACGTGATAGGGAGTGCACTGTTTTCTGTGACACGGACTTTCAGGAGCTCTCCTAAACATTTAGAATGTGTAATACATTTTTTTAGCCCTATATACTGTGGTTTGCAGAGTTTTACAATCTATATTACTTACAGATTGTAAAAATCTCTGACTGTCTTTGCAGGGATCACCAAATTACAGTAGATAATACATTTATACAACATTCTTGAAAATAAAGCCATTTTCTAATGTATTTTAGAGACTTGCCAAAAGTCAAAATGAAAAAGCACTTGCTCAGCTGAGTGAGACACATTTGCACATGAATGTTGTCCAAGAAAACAAGATTTATTAAATAATGTATTTAATTTACTTAATAAACAAACATTCTTGAACTATTGGAAATTAAGAAAAGACAGTTTGTGCAGAGGAGGAAGTGGTTTCATCTCAAAATCTTTGTTCTCCAGCTCAAAATTTTCACTTCAAAGTTACAAAGAAACTAGAAATAACAATATCAAACACAGTTTGAGCAATAAGCAGCAGATAGAATATCCTCTCTGATTGTAAACGTGCAGCTGCCAACCAGACAGAAATTAAAGTACCAAAAAAAAATGCAAATTTAAGGATCTGTTAGGATAAGAGAGCAAGTCTCATTTATACCCCAAAATATTCTGTAACAGCTGTTCACAGCAAGCACCCAGCTATAGATGTAGTGGCATAACCAGTCAGATCCCCTTCTAAACAGCAGCCATCACTTTGGCTATGTCACTTTTCTAAGGTGAGAGAGTTTACGTCTCTACCGTATCAGGGCTTCACGGCATTCGACACTGCTGAAACGTTACCCATGTTGCTCTCCATCCATTTGTGCGCTTGCTGCCTTGCATTCAGCAGCGATCTGGGGAGAAACCCACAAAGCCTGTACTTCCTCTGTTCCAACGTTTTTCCTCTATTTTATTGCCAGTCACCACATAGACACAAATGTTTTAAATTAGGCTGTGAAGTGAAAGGGTTATAAGATTGTCCAGAGACTTCAGCAAGTTTTCTAGCCAACAGTGTTGAATTAGAGTCCATTCCTGAAACCACTGCCAAGAAATTCTTTCAAATAGGCTATGAAAAGACCACCTCAGTTTCCCGATCCAGTTCTCTGTGGGGCACTAACCCATTGGAGCTTTGTCATACTATTATAGGCGTTTGGCAACTGAATCCTCTTGAGCAAGTTTGTTCTCCTCTTTCCCATCCAAAGTACAGTAATTGAAATGTTAACGGATGTGACTGAAATGTTTAGAGAAGCAGGTCAGATGCAATCTTACCAACTCCACTCCTTCCAAGAAGTGTAACCCAGGGAAAGATGGAGATGGGACTTTACTTGGACTCTCTCCAGCTTTTCCTGAGGAAAGGAACTTGGTTCCCTTGCGTATGCTGTCTGCTGGTATGGACTGAATAAGAATGACAAACACCAGAACTGAGAAAAGCTGATGTCAACCTGTTGGAAAACTAAACGCTAAACCACTGGATTGAAAATCCATGGTAGATTCTTGGATGCCCTGCATAACCTTTGCACTTTGAAAATATACCAGCTGGAGAATCCCACTTTATGTAATCCCATCTGATGTAAAATCTCAAGCACTGCAAACTAAGGCTGTACGCCTTGCTTGAAGTTGTGCAAACAGAAAACAAGGATTTACAGCAATTTTCTGTTCCTTTGGGCTGCACTTCCAACAGGGAGAATTAAACCTTTTATCATACAGACCATTAGCATCAAAGAAGCGTTCTTCTATAATGAAGCCAAGACCTGAGGAGAAATACAGTATCTTTTAGTATCTTTTATTAGTTCAGATTATGCATATGAAAAAAAAATCTTGGGGCATAAAAAGCTCCTGAGATCTTGAGAGAAGGCCTGAAGAAGAGTTCATGTGTGCAAAAATATTTATTTTTCCAACTGTATCAGTTGGATTAATAAAATATATTGCCTTTCCCTATAAAACTTGCTTTGTTTATAGCCCTAGACTATCACGACTGCAACAATATTATAAAATTTCTCGTATATAAAAAAAAAAGTAAAACCAGACTTTCCTGTACAGAAATAATATTGGCTCTCAAAATCCTTGTATTCTGAAAATGTATGGGATAAACAGCTTGAAATGGTTTCTCTTTGTCTCACATTGCTGCCTTTCCACTGCGCTGCACGAGAGACCTGTAAATTCTGCAGGAGCGCAGTGTGCTGAGGCCCTATTATAATAAACAAGAATTTCAATAATGAAGGGTAGCAGAGAGCTGATGTCACTGTCACTTTTTTCAGTCAACCAGAAACCAATTATCTCTGGCTGACAGGCCAAATTAAATCATGGGGTAGGGAGAAATGCCAGCTATCCTCCCCTAGAGTTAGGTAATTGGAGTTTTAT